CACCCGCCGCCTGCCGGGACCTGTAGTTGGCGCCGCGGCGCCCGCTCCGCCCGCGGGGAGGCCTGGGAAACTACCGCTCCCGGCGTGCCCCACGCGCACCGCCGCCATTTTGCGGAGCGCGGCAAGGAACAGAACGGGGAGGGGTGGGGTTATTTTGGAGGTTGCGCTCTCCTCCCCTCCCCCACCCCCTGCTCGCTGCAGAGGGGAAAGGAGACGCGGGCTTCTGGTCCCGTTCGCAACGCGCATGCGCGGGGAGTTGCTGTGCTGCGCTGTTTGTCGTACAATGGCTCGGAGCAGCCGTTAGGATTTTGTGGCCGTTCGGAGGCTGCGGACCTGCGGCAGTTCCCCCCGGGGAGCGCCCGGGCCCTTCCATTCCCTCCCTCCTCCCGCTGCAGCTGTTGCTGCGCTGCCCCAGCGGCCTCCCCTGGGCCGGTAGGCCGGGCCTGGGGAAAAGGCGGGGGCGCTGGGCCAGTCTGAGCACTGGCGAGCTGCTCTCTGCCCGAGAAGCTGGCAGCCTGGCGCTCCGTGACGGCCTTTTGCCCTGGATCTTTTTTCAGCGTTTCCCCTGGCAGAGGACAGCGTCTGTTGGAGTAACTGGGCTCGCTGTCACCGCCCCGCTGCGGGGAGCTCCTGCCCCAGACAGTTCCCCCCGCCATACTTCTACACGCGCGCGCACACACATAAGGGATGAGTAAATCTTTGACCGACCATTTTTTTCATGTGCTTGCTGTGAGGGAAAAGGCTAACTGGCTGAGTTCTAGCCTGTAGTTCATACTGGGAATATCTGGGGGGGAGGGGGTCATTGTGAGAAGACTTTGTTATAAAGAAATCTTGTAAATAGCTTCATAAGCAACACACCTATATGTCCTTTTCACCCCAGCGGAGAGATAGCAGTCTGGACCTGGCAGCAGGGCCCAGAGACTGCTCCCTGATTGGTTCCTCGTTACTTTATTTTTTATTGTACTGGCTGAGTGGTGTGCCCAGGTGACCAGTTCTGTAACTTCTATTGAAGTGTGGCTGACTGGGCCTCAGGAGAAAGAGTGAGGCTCTGATAAAGCTGGATGGAGAAAGTCCCAGGGAAGACAGATTAGTGAGAAAAAGAATAGTCTCAGGGAGGATGGAACAGAGTCAAAGGAAGAACAGGGGGAACTGGTGTGGCACAATAGAGACTGGCTGTTCCAGAGCAGAGATTGCTGTGCTGTTGGGACACTCATCATTCAGCTACCCCTCTTTAAAAGAACACTCCCACCCCCCCTTCATGGGAGCTGATGAAAAGGAAGGAGTTGTTGGAGGTGTGGGTGCTATGGATCACTGAGGAAGCCGGAGACTGAGAAGATCCAGGGTCTCCAAGTCAGAGGCTCTCCTCCTAGGGGCTGGCTTCTAGGGGTCCTCTCAAGACAGGGAGACCAAATAAGGCTGCTTCTTGGAGAGTTGCAAGGCAGAGCTCCCCCCTCCAACAAAAGGGCATTGATCTTGTGACACCTGCAAAGCACATTTGCACTGGGGTTGGAGTGTTTTGTTTGTCAAATAACTTATTTGACAAACAAAATACTCCAACCTCACTGCCCTTTTTGGTCAGCCCTTCCTTTCAAGTTAAGAAAGCGGGAAAGGCCATAGGCCAAAGAAAATGGTTTAATTTAATTGAAAACATTTCAATGTATGAATTATGGCATATTCAAAGTTATAGAATCAAAATAGGGAGTGTGACAAAACCCAATAATTTAAGGAGATACGGACTCAGTGCATTGTGCACTCAGGGGTTACAACGGTTTCAATTTCTACTTCTTAACCTGATTTTATAACCCAGTCTTACAGAGTATGGGTATGATCCCACATCAAACTTGCATCTGTCTTGTGATTCAGAGGGTCAGATTCAAACAAACACTGAGGCATGTAAATCCAAAAGTGCAATCCACCTGCATAACTGTTGTTTGAGACTGTGATGGTCCACAGTCTCAAGCTTTTGCTTGGTAGGCAGGTGCCTACGGTTTTGTTACTTCACATGCCCAGAGATGTACCAATACAAAGGATGTACAGAGGCTGAGCCAATATCACCAACACCTATCACACATTTCAATCCACTTGGGACTCAAGGGTTCATTTCAAGAGGCCTACTCTGAGTACACTTACCCATAAATCACACCAATAGCATTAAGTTCAGCACAAAGCATAAGACACTTTCATGGTCCCAGAGGAACAGACTTGCACCTTCAGCTTCCTCTGTGCAAAAATGAAGTTTATTTTCTACCTATGGGGACTTTTTATCATCTTTTATTTTTCCTCAGCCTGAGGAAGGGCGTGTGCGCCAGAAAGCTTGCAGAAAAAGAGATTTTTTTTATGATTTCTTAGTTGGTCTAATAAAAGGTATCACCTCTGAACCAAGAGTTCTAGAGTTTTGCATTTCTAACAGTCACAATCGCTTTCATTCAAAACCATAGCTGATGGTGGTGCCGCCTATCTTTTGCATAGACAAATGATTAGAACACAGCAATCAATCACTACTACACATTGCCATTAGATAGCATAGGAGCAAGAGATAGCCTTACCTTTAGCCAACTTAGAATGGATGCAGCAGCAAAAGTTAACCCAGGCTGTCTTTACACTGGTAGTTTTAGCTCTGATTTGTTCAGTAGTTCAGGGATTCCCCCAGTTTAGCGGCTGCTGCTTTTTATAGGCAGGTAACCCTTTACCCTGGTTAAACATTTCATCTGTCTGTGCCGAGTCACGTTCCTTCTTTCTTACTCTCTTGGGCCCTATGCATCCTGCATTCTTGGCTTCCAAGATAGTGTATTCAACACTGGATGACAGAGTCATGTGCTATCTTTTCATGGCCGTATGATGTTGCATTCCTTTCTATGCAACAGTCCTACTTTAGCAGCAGGGGCAGAAGATTAGAGCACTCTCCTGGAGGTGAGAAAGATACCAGTAGATTTGAAACTCCTCAGGCTGTAAAGCAGTATAACTAGGTCTACCACTTCCTGGGTGCATGCTTAAACCACTAGGTATAATATAAAGGGTGGATTGTCATCATTGCCAGCTGTGTAAGAGTGATGAAAAAGTAAGCCAGTTACCTGCATCCAAAGGAAGAAATCAGTTGATAAATGCATGAAGGCACTTCGCAGGAGAAGACGGATTCCAGATATGTCCCCCTGTTCCACATTTCCTAATGGCTACCTTAGGTGTCCTCCATGCTTGGCATACCAGCTGTTGTGAGTTCCAGTTATCTAAACTCTTCTCATCCCTTGTATAGGAACACAGGTATCCTAAAATATATGTAAATTCTACACTTGGTTCTGACTACCTAAATGGCATGGCCATACCAAAATGATGCTGTGCCCAGTTCCCTTAGTAAGTGAATTTATATTAGGCATAAAGATATAGATGCCAGTTGCACAGAAGGGATATAACTAGGGACCTACTTAATCTGTGGTTTTGTGGAGTTTGCAGAAACAATGAAATCTGGGATAATCTACAAAATCAACATAAAAAAATCTTAATAAAAATAAAATGCTGGCTCCCTCTGGGAGCCATTGGTTCTTGCTGCCTGAAAGGGAAAGTGCCAGCTGGTATGGTGGCAGGTTAGGATGGTGGCTGCCTTCTTGTTCCTCCTCCCCACCCGGGGCCTCTCTGCCAATCAGCACCAAGGGGCGGGGCCACCACACAATGCCCACAAAATCAGCTCTGCATGCTGCAAAGAGGTTGTGAAAAACCCTTCGTCTCACTGCGACTTAAGTAGGTCCCTAGATATAACCCCAGGGCTCCAGAATCTACACTGGTTCCCAAGAGCTTTCTGGGTACAACTCATGGTACTAGTTTGATGGATAAAGCTCTAATCATTCTGGGCCCGATGTACCTTATGACTGTCTTATGCCCTGTCACCAGGGATCCTGGTTTTCTCTGATTTAAAAAAAATCCCCAGTTTTCAGATTTAAAAAAGTATTCCCAAATTCACATTTTCTCGTGATTAAAATGAAACACCACACACACACACACACATATACACATGTATATATAAGTGACTTTTTAAATCCAAAAATTAGGGATTTTTTTAAAATCAGAGAAAACCAGGATCCCTACCCATCACAATCCAAAAGGTCAGCTAAGATTAACCTTCTGTAAGCCTCTGACAAAGACATTGAATTACAGGCTCATATACTTACCTATATAAAGAAACAATCAGTATAAAAAAAATAACGTTTGAAGTCAAGCTTTATTAGGTCATGCATTGCTTTAAAGCCTTGATCTTGTAGGGGCCCTAGGGACTGTGCTAATGGGTACACAAGACTGGTAAAATTATTGCAGACATCAGGATCTAACTTGTGGTTCTAGGAAATACCATCATGTACTACTACATTAGGATCACTCCCTAAACCTGAGTGTTCCTGCACACTGATTTTAATGCAGCTTCTTGACACAAATCATAAGTTAAAAAGATAGTTATCTACTAAATGGGTGATTTATCATTCATCATTTTAACATGCTAAAACATAAAATTAATAAAAATGAACCTTAATAAGAATATTAAGTTATGTGATTGCTTAAATCCAGATATAGAATTATAGTGTACTCTTTTAGGTAGCACAAAAAAAAAAAATGTACCAAGGCAAGCGTAGAGGCTCCATGTAGTTATAAATCAGTGTTTAATGTTTACATTAACCAATGCGAATGCACTCTTTTTAAACCAAAAAACACTAATGAGAAAGTTGATTAAAATTAATTATTTAAATACAGGCTCTACACCTGGATATGTAATTGCCTTGATTTAAATCAATCTGTTTATCAACCTCCTAGTGTAGACATTGTTATGCTGGTATATAGGTGCCTAGACGGGTATAATTTATTGCTCTATGATTTACCAATTTTTTTAAAACATAAAAATCCCACCCGTTACCACTGTAGCCAAAGTGGTATAAAATGGAATTTAGAATGGTATAAAATGGAATTATCTGAATGATCCAATTGAATCTGCCACAATTTTCTTTGTTAGTCCTCCATTATCATTATCATAGAGAAGTAAGGTTGGAAGGAACCTCAAGAGATCATCTAGTCCAGCTAGGGATCACTGTCTAACAGTGTTATGTGGTTTTAATAAAAGATTTAATGCTGTAAACAAGTTCCAAAAATAAACATTGCATTTTAAGCATAATCTAGGTGTTATAGGATTAAGACTGATAAACCTATGTACTGTAAAGTCTTGGAAGATTTGTATACATATCCATCAGTTTGTACCAATCCAGTTCTTGAAAGAGCTGTTACATTTAGTCACAAAATGCTCCAAGGTCTCTCTAGTAAGAGGCTTCATTTTTTATGCAAGGAATTTTTAAAAATTGTTATAACTATTGATATAGAATAATTCAGTGTCAAATGCAAGCAAAAGACTCTTTTGTCCTTGATTGTTTGAAAATTACCTGAATGTGCACCACTAGTGGATGGCAAATTATTTTCCTTCATTAAACACAATATAGGGATCTATTTTCAAATGTAACACCATGTGCACAAACACATGACTGTGTGTTCAACTTTGCATCTGGGTCATACAAGTTTTGCTAGTTGCTCCCTCTAAAAAAAACCTTGGTTCTGATAGATTTTGAAATAAATCAAGTTGTGGATGAACATCCATTGACATTTCCATATAGGACTCAGCCACTATTTCAGTGGTTCATTTGTCCACCTTTTTTGGTTTTGTTAACGTTCTGTTCCATTTTGTTATGTATAACTTAAGGCCATGTAATGTAGAAGCAATAATACTAATACTACTTCAATTACTACTACTACTAGTTCTTTGTGTACTTAAAAGATTTTTAAAAAATCACACCTGACATAACTTCCCTATGTAGTGTTTGACTACCCTCCTAGTGAGAACATTCTTCCCAATATCTAACCTAAACTTCCCTTGCTGCAACTTGAGACCATTGCTCCTTGTTCTGTCATTTGCCACCACTGCGAACAGTTTAGCTCCATCCTCCTTTGAACCCCCCTTCAGGTAGTTGAAAGCTGCTATTAAATCCTCTCTGTCTCCTCTTCTCTAGATTAAATAAGCCCAATTCCCTCAGACTTTCTCCATAAGCATGAATGACTCGTGTCTGCTGAGGCTGGGGGGGGAACACGGCAACTGCCCGCATGCAGCGGGGGCGTGGTGGTGGCAAGCGGGGACCACCTGCAGGTGGTCGCAGTGACATTAGCAGCGAGGGCAGGCTGAGCGGGGACTGCCCACAGGCGGCCGCGGCAGTGTCGGCAGCGAGGAGGGGGGGTGGCAAGTGGCAACCGGCCACAAACCCTGGCAGCAGTGGCCAATCTTAGGGGGTGCATGTGCCCCCCCATATTTCCCCTCGCATCACCTATGCCCATAAGTCATGTCCCCCAGCCTTCTCACTATTTTTGTTGCCCTCCTCTGGACTCCCTCCAATTTGTCAATATCTTCTGCAGTGGAGGGCCCAAAACTGAACACAGTACTCCAAATGTGGCCTTACCAGTGCTGAATCAAGGGGAATAATCACTTCTCTTGACCTCCTGGCAACATACCTACCAATGCAACCCAATGTGCTGTTAGACTTTTTGGCAACAGGGGCACACTGTTGGCTTATATTCAGCTTATTGCCCACTGTAACCCCCAGGTCCTTTTCTGCAGAGCTGCTGTTTAGCCAGTCAGCGCCCCGCCTGTACTGGTACATGGGATTGTTCCAACCTCAGTGCAGGACTTTGCACTTGTCCTCATTGAACCTCATGAGATTTCTTTTAGCCCAATGCTCCCATTTGATTAGGTCACTCTGAATTCTATCCCTACCCTCCAGCATATCTACTACTCCCCTCAGCTTGGTGTGATCTGCAAACTTGCTGAGGGTGCACTCTGTGCCATCTTTCAGGTCATTGATGAAGACATTGAACAAAACTTGCCCCAGGACTAACCCCTGGAGCACTCCACTTGATACCAGCTACCAACTATAGACATTGAGTCATTGATAACTACTCTTTGAGCCCAATGCTCCAGCCACTTTTCTATCCACCTTACAGTCCATTCATCCAGCCAGTACTTCCTTATCTTGCCTGCAAGAATGTTGTGGGAGACCATATCAAATGCCTTGCTAAAATCAAGGTACACCACATCCACCAGTTTCCCCACATCCAGAGTTATTTCCTCACAGACACCAATCAGACTGGTCAGGCATGACTTGTCCCTGGTGAATCCATGCTGACCATTCCTAATCACCTTTTCTCCTCCAAGTGCCTAGAAATGGATTCCTTGAGGATCTGCTCCTTGATTTTTCCAGAGACTGGGGTGAGGCTGACTGGTCTGTAGTTCTGTATCCTCTTTTTTCCTTCTTAAGTATGGGCACTATGTTTACACTTTTCTAATCACCTAGGTAGGACCTCTCCTGATTGTCGTGAGTTTTCAAAGATGATGGCCAATGGCTCTGCAATCACATCACTTATCTCCCTCAGCACCCTTGGGTGGCACCCTACCTGGCCCCATAGACAGCTTTTCTAAGTAGTCCCTAACCTGTTCTTTCACTGCTGAGGGCTGTTCACCTCCTCCCCAAACTGTGCTTCCCACTGTAGTAGTCTGGGAGCTGACCTTGCCAGTAAAGACAGAGGCAAAAAAGGTATTGAGCAGTTCAGCCTTTTCTGGATCCTCTGTCACAAGGTTGCCTCCCCTATTCAGTAAGGGACCCTGTTTCCCTGATGATAATATTCAAGAATCAATTTACATTTTTAAAATCAGTTCAATTTTAATATTATATGATACAAGTAACATAAAAAAACAGTCTTTTAAATAATCATCTAACTTCCATTTAAATAGAATAATGGAAGAATGG